CTGCCCACTGGTGGTAGAGGAGTCATTCATCACCCTCAGCTCACCTTGCTCTCCGGTGTGCAATGTTCTCCAGCCAACAGGCCTGCTGGCTAAGGGAGGTCACAGAGGCGACTTCCCTAACCTTTGCTAGTGCCACTCCCTCTGCAACCTATCCCAGGCTACAGCATGAGCTGTGGAACCCTCTAGAAAGGCAGCAGGGTCCAGAAACTGGGAGGCTGAAGTCCACGGGAGAGACAGCTGAGTTCCCCTGGGGTGACTGTGATGTTGGGGGAGGGGTGCTCACCTCTTCAGAAGGAGGTAATTGGGAGATATCTTTCAGCAGCCAACGGGCCCACAGCCCACTTTGCCAACAGGGCTGAGGCTGTGTGGAGAGGATACCTGAGCCATCCCACCTTCACCCTTCCCTCCCTTGTCTCCTGCCAACAGAAGAGCAAATCAGGACAGCACCTTGTGGTTGCTTCCCTCCCCACCCTAAGATCAATATCCAATGTTGAGTTCAAGATCTTATCTGACTTTTGCAAGGAGAAAGCAACAAATATCTCTTCAATGACTAAATCCTTCGACCATCATCCTAGTGTATTTCAGACCACTTCTAAAGTTTGAGCAAGCAAAAGCAATGATTCAGAAAACTGGAGATCCACCCCCTTCTCCCCAGAATTAATCTTCTTGTGGAAGAACTCCAGAAGGAAGTGATGGGTAGGGCAAGAACAGCCCCCAGCTTCTATCACTAACTTAGCTCCTGACTGGCTGCAGGAATCTACTATGCCACTTTCTGAAACCTATGTGCCTCAGTTTCTCCTCTGTCTGTGGTGCAGCAGGAAGGACTGGAGTGGCCCTCGAAGTCACTGCTTCTCTGTGCCTGCAGTCAGGTGACAAGGGGTCCAGACTATGCGTCAGACATGCTGGGTGCACATCCCAACACTGTCCAGCTTGTCACTCCAGGCAGCTCAGCTTGCCTGCGACTGTCTGTAACACAGATGTGGTGATGCCTGATCTCCGGAGGTAGTTGCCATGGCCAACGAGACAGCCAGGAAGCCCTGACGCCACCACAGTGGACACTGAGACAGGAAGGGAAGGATCTTCCCTTGCTCCTGGGAGTTCATCCAGGAGATAGCCTCTTCAGGATATCCTGTGGTAGGCAGCCTGGGTCACACCAACTTCATGGATGGGCTATACCCAGTGGCTGGTCATGTAGACAGAAAGGGTGGATGGCATTCCCCCAGCTGGGGCAGAGAGACCAGCCCTGCAGAGGGAGGAATAGGCGGGCTCCTCCCTCAGCTTGCCAGTTGAGCCCAGGACATTTCCTTACAAACCACCTCGGCGATAGCTCCCCTTCCCCCCAGTTACAAAAACAAACAAACCCAGAACTCATCTGAAGCATTCTGTCTTGACTAAAAGGTGAGGACGGGTATAGGTTTAAGATGTCTATGTCCCCTATCAGAGTGCCTGAATTTGAGTCTGGGTTTTACTTCTGATCCATTTTCGTACTAATATGGATCTAGAAAGGCATCAGGGGAAGGCTAAAGTGCTTGCTTGAGTACGTGGGTCCCTGCCACTCATGCAGGAGACCCAGATGGAGTGCCAGTTTCCAGGCTTTGGCCTGGTCCAGGCCTGACTTCTGTGAGCATCTTGAGAGTAAAGGAAGTTCCTTCTCTTTCTCTCTCTCTCTCAGGTCAAGGGGCTCCTCAATCCTAGCTCCTGTATATTTTGTAGACGGAACCTGAGAAGTTTGGAAAAGTTAGGAAAGCAGAGCTAGACGGGGGGCTAAGCTCTGGAAAAGAGCAAGAAAGACCCCCATACCTGCAGGGCCCACTCTCTGGAGCAGAGGCTGGTGAGGGCCCTGTCCCGCCTGTGCAGGACATCACCCTCTGAGGAAGGCTCTTGGTCTCCTGGATTATCCCCCCAGTGCCAGTAAGGCCCAACCGACAGGTCTATGGACAGGGAAAACCAACTGTCACGCGTGATTGGCATCACTCCTGATGTCAAGTCCACACTTGTCAGGCCCAGACAGGGGTCTCACTTGCTATGTAAATGTGATTTGTGCTTTTGTTGGGGTCTGCTCCTAGAGAAAAAACACCATCACAACCACCCCGACTTTCTCCCCAGTGCTGCTGTGGGCTCTGAGTTCATTTACCTCTGAACTTACACCATAGCTTTCGCATCCAGTTCCAAAGGAGACTGCTGCTTGGAAAAGCAGTATTGGGACTAGAGCCATGACTCATGAGGCTAAACCTCTGTCTACGATGCCTGCATTCCATAGAGGTGCCAGTTTGTGTTCTGGCTGCTTTACTTTCAATCCAGCTCCCTGCTTATGGCCTGGGAAAGCAGTGGAAGAAGGCGCAAGCCCTTGGGCTACTGATCCACATGGGAGACTGGGAGGAGTCTCCTGGCTCCTGGATTTGGATCAACCCAGCTCCGGCAATTGTAGCCATTTGGGAAGTGAACCAGCTAATGAAAGATCTCCCTCTCTCTGTAAGTCTACTTTTCAAATAAAAATAAATTCTTAAACCCTGGAGAGGGGCCAGCAGGAGGATGAGGGAGGAAACTTCCTGGCATACCTGTTCCACCTACCTTCTTTTCTGCCCTAGGCAGGACCCACATAAGCTCGGAAGAGTACCAGTCCTATCTCCATGCTCTGGGACAGTCTTAAAATCTGTATTCATTTCTGAACAAGCTACATCCCTTCTGGCTTTGGTCCTCACGGATGATGCCCCTGCACTGGCTATAGGTGTGATAACCTTGGCCTGGCAAACAAATGCTGCTACAGAGTCTGCCTTAGTGGGCTAGGAGGATGCAGGCACCAGAGCTCTGCCTACTCTCTCCCCAGTGTTTGGGCAGGCCAACAAGGATGCCCTGAAGCTACCATGAGTGCCAGACCCCAGCATGCCCTTCCTCTACCTCATCACAGGCCACAATTACTAGCCTGGCCACCCAGGGCTGACCACCACTCATCCCTGTGCCAGGCTCTTTCCCTCTGGGAAAACAAAGAGGCTTCACCCCTTGTGGCAGAGATCTGATTAGAGAACCCTGCATGACACAGAAGTCTAATGCCCTGATGCCCCTGGCAGCTATGTGGTCTCACTACATCACTGCCCCTTCTTGAAGAGGACAAATCTCTATCCTTGCCCAGCTATGAGGGCTGATGAGGTGGTGACCCCCGTGGAAGCTCCTGGTCCAGGGCCTGACACTGAGAGACCAGAAAATACCTCCCCTCACTGGCTTTCCAACGTCCACAGTAGGGTCTGAGGCCTCCCAGGACTTTTCCAGGATGGTGAGCTCTGGCATCACCCATTGCATGATATCAGCCATGCTGAAAATAAACAGGTGAACAGCATCTTCTGAATAAACCTGTCACCATCAGACAAAGAGCCAGAAGTCTTAGCCTCAGGCTCCTGCTGGAACCCTGGGTGCCATGAGTGAGCCTCCTCAGAGCCTTGGAGATGATGACAGTGATCATGACAATGACGAGAGCTCACACATGGCATGGCTGGCCATGGGCTTCACTTAACACTCTCCAAACAATCCTAGAGGGAGGTGCAACTGTTATTCCCATTGCACAGATGAATAAACTGAAGCAAGAAGAGGTGTCATGATCTTCCCACAGTCATAATAATGCTCCAGGCTGATGTGAAGCAGTGCTCAGAAGACTTAGTGGCACTCATGCTTTGGAACCCCTCGCCAGATGTACACAACGTAGGTGGATGTGGAAGGGAAGCATAGGTGCCCATGGCCCTTGCAAACTTCATCCCACTTTCCTGGCTCTGACTAGGGTAGGGAATCATTCTGTGCATCCAATCATTCTGCACAAGCTCACTCTCCCCTCCACTCCTCCTTGCCCCTACCTGTCTCTTGCCTCCATAAGCACCCCTTGATGCTGTCACTGTCCAAAACTCAAGTTCCCCACCCCAGGCATGATGCAGATGGATGCAAGCATGGGAGGCCATGCCACCAGGCACACCAGGACAACCAGTCCTCCCACCCTCGCCAACCGTGACTCCTGCTACCCCGCCCCCTTCCCCGCTCAGCCTGTGTTCTCCAAACAGGAAAGACACAGAGGCTGAGCCGGGAAACTGCTTCTAATCACAGGTGACAGCAGGAATGTAAACAACTCAAGAAGCACCTAAATGCAATCCAAGTACCATGGGAACACTGCTCATGCACAGCCTCCCTCTATTGCAAATGCTCTACATCCTTCCGTGTCACCTCCCCCTTGGGAGGCTCTGCCATAGTAGCTGGAGCCTCCAGAAACCTGGGGCTTCCAGGATCACTAACTCACAAGTACCTTTGAGTCTATGACCTCTGACAGGATTTTCTAGATTCCTCTCATTTTTCTGTTTAAGGCAACAGTAGTTAACATGTGGCTGGGGGGATTGAGGAAGGAGCGGTAGAACCCCTGTGTCCATCTGTCAACAACTAAGGACCTTTCCCAAGAAAATTGCCAACACACAACAATTTGCAGTCATTTTAAGGGATTTAGACCCCAGGCTTATAGCACAGATTGGACAGCAGTAGCACAGGAGAAAAGACAAAAATGTACTGTCCCACAGCTGCTCGAGGTGCCAGGGGCATTTTCAAAGTCTGTCATCGCTATGCACATCCAACAAAACCAAGACAAGCCAGTTTCCCTCTCTCTGTTCAGATTGACAGTCTGCTTTTCAACCACCTTCTTCCATGCAAATTGGGAACTCAGCTGAGTAACTGCTGTGAATAATTTCCGCTTGGATCAGGTAGTACTGAAGTTACCAAGAGACTAGGCAGATGGGTCTACTTGCATGTGTGCGCTTGGGGTGGCCACCTAAGGAGACCAGTTTCCAAGCTAAAAGGAAACTGGTTTTGTAACTGGCCAGGATTTGGACTTCTGTGTTACTGCAGTCTTACACTCGCACAAAACTTTAGCTCATGTTCACCTGCACCTGCTTGATTCTAGATTCTTTGGCTGTTCTTTTGTTCAGGGGGTGTGGGATTGAGATGAAATGGAGGCTCAGTGAGGGGGATCCTACCTCTGTGTCTGTTGGTGGTTTTGTCAAACATCAGCATTGCATCCTCCACCTGCAAAACAAACAGAGAAGACAGGCTGCCTTAGAAATCTTAACAAAATATACAAAATCATCATCTGGGCCATGTGTGCATGTGGTATGAGTAGCTTTCGTTATAGAAGCAACTGTTGTTGACTAAAGAGTATTAAAAAGCAAAAACATTGGGCCAGAGCAGTGGTATAGCATGCTAAGCCTTTGTGTGTAGCACTGACATGATCCTGACTCCATCTGGGACATTTAGATTGCTCCTAGACACAAGCCACGATACTTTAACATCTAGATTATGGAATGAACTGTGTCACCTCAAGTTCTTGTGTTGAAGACCTAATCCCCAAAAATCTCTGACTGTGACTAGATTTGGCAACAGGAGCTTCAGAAAGTTAACTAGTAGAAAGTAAGGTCACATAGGGGGACTTAAACCAATGGGATGGGAATCCTTGTAAGAAAGGGTGACCAGATGGACATACAACACACACAGGTATGTGTGTGTGTGTATAAAGGGGAGAACAGCATCCAAGCATCAAGCAGATAGATAACTCAGAGGAAAGTTCTTGCCCTGCAGAACTGTGGCAAGACACGTTTGTGTCATTCACACCACCCTTTCCAAAGCCCTTTGTTGGGGAAGCCAGAGCACACTGACACATCCATACCCAGACCTTTTTAAAGACCTGGCAGTGGAGGACCACCCAGGTACGCCCTGACTCTCAGCCAAATCCCTTCCAGAGCCCCCCATGTGTCTTGTAACACTTTTGGGTGTGTCCAGCTGTAAGATTTCAGGCTCTGCACTCAATTTCTACATAGATCTCAAGAAACACACACTGAATTAAGTAGATTTGGCTTCAAAACCCCCTCTTAGGATTCAATACTCAGTTACACACACTCCTTGAGCAGGTCCATCCACCTAACTGATCAGCCACTCACTTAGGGAGGGCACATGGTCCTGCCAGGTGAGCACCTTGCCTCTTTCATTTTGGTCATAAATGTATAATCTAATCCCAATGTGGCTGTGGGGAAGTAAAAACTGCTAGCGAGTGTTCTGGCTTGGAACAGTCTGGTGTTGTGGCCTGGTTGAGAGAGGATGGCCTCCCAGGTTCACAGAGAACTTCAGGGCAGAGTGTCCCCCAGAACCCCGGTCCTGGGGAGGTAATACAGTGAGGTGTAGAGCGGCACCTCCTGACGAATCAAATCTACTTCTAGATGATTTTAAACATAAAGGGGAAGAGCAACATCAATTTTTCTATACCCATGTGCCATGATACATTTAAATAACCGAATGTTAAAACTGTTACTGAAGGACTATTTTACTGTGTTAAGATGGGAGAAAATGGCAGGAGAGGAAAGCAGGGTGCACAGAATCCTTATACCTACAAAACTTCATCATGGAAAATAATGATAATGAAAATAATAGTCACAAAGAGCAACATCAAGGGAACAGTGGGAGAGGGGGGTGGGCAGGCCATTCAGGCCTTGGAAGGATGGGTCTAGGGTAAAAATCCTCAGGGCCCCTTTGGCTGCTAAGCAACAGCAACTGAACAAATGGATTCCTGGGGCCTTGCCCTTGAGGTCCCCATGCTTGAATTCAGTGACTAGGAGGAAAATGGCCTTGCCTGGGGACTCCTCTAGCAGTCAGCTGCCCTCTCTCTTGCTGGAAACTGTAGTTCATGGTGTCCTGGAGATGGCTTGAACAGGGCTCCTCCTGCAGGCCTCTCCGCAGATACCCATCCAAGGCACCTGCTGAGGCCACACACACACACACACACACACACACACACAACAGCAAGCGGTCAGCCAGCTCCCTCCCACAAAGCACTGGGGCAGGAGCATGGTGACATCAGCTGGTGTGTTTGCACACAAGGCAGTCACACTGGAGCGCACAGCAGCGGCTCAGTCTCAGCACCCCAGAAATAATTCAGTGCCTGGGGTGCAGCCTGCAGGGAAACGTGACAAGTGTTTCACACGCATCTCTGTTTTACCTGAGATGCTTGCCAAATCCTTATTTTGAACTGAAAATGCTTCACAGTAAGGAAAACAGCCTCCCTCCATGTTTGGGTACTAGACACAGATCCCCTTAGGAAAGAAATATTTTGAATTGAAAAAAAAAAGGATTTGCAAAGTCCTCCTTCCATAGTGTGGAACTGGCTCTCTAGCCCACTGCCCTCCCTGCACTGAGTCCACCCTGGTGAGTGTGGGGGAGGGTCTGTGTATGTTTTCAGGGTGGCCATTGTGGCAAAGAATAGAGCTCTCTCCTCTATAGCCTAGTGGTACAATAGGACTCGCAAAGACCTCCTGAATAGATAAAGTGTCAGGGAGAAAGAAAAATTCTATTAACACTTTACAAAATGCAACATCTAAGAAGTAGCTAGAAAGGAGAGAGCAAAGAAGAGGGGAAAAAATCAATATGGATAAGTCCCAGTGCTTGGGTAGGGGGAGAAAAGTTTTTAGTGATTGCAAAAACACTTATTAATTCAGAGAAGCCATCAACGCGATGGAAATCTGGCAGAACAGCAAGAGCTGAAACCAGAAGAATCTGAATATACAAAGACTGAATAGAAGGAACACACGGCTTCACATACGGGACTGGTTCTCACGGTTCTGTGCAAATCAAACACAAGCGGCCTGTGTGAGCCTCCTTCAAAGGGGCCTAACAGGGCACAGTGGAAGGGACTGCATTCAGCCCATGAGCCAGCAAGCTGACAACTCCCTGGGCCTCCCTCTCCCTCTGCCCCCACTGGACTCCAGGGAAACCCAGGTAGACTGGCTGACTGTACAATCACTTGCATTAACACTCAGGTCCAGGGGCTGGGGGCAGAACTTTTTTTGCCTGGGTGGAAAATACCACTAACCCTTGGATAAACAGCCCCCAGCCTCTTTGTGGGGATTAACACTGCTATGTATACTGTGCTGTGGATGCCTTCACCTGTTATACAAATTTCTCCCTATCAGAGTTGGGCACCCAGGTGCCCTAGGGTCCCTGTGAGCAGAGAGAACAGTAGGGGTCTGTGCCCCTGCCTGCCCTCTCCCCTGTCCTGGCGCCAGTATGGTCGGTTTTGAGAGAAGGCACTAACTCCAGCCTTGAGATGTGCCTTGCAGTGACTTGTGGCAGGCTTACAATGTAACTCTGTGTCCATACTGTTGCCTCTTTGTGATGGAAAAAAGCAAAGAAAAGGGACTTCTAGATGAGCCCAAGTCCCAGGTGGTGCTGATGTGGCTGCTGGCAGGGAAGAGCACAATCTTCCAAAAGTGGAAGGGCAGAGGCTGCTGCCCGCTTTGCAACACACTCAAGTGTTCAATGCAGGGAGCGCCGCTGCTCTCCTGGATATGACTGGCCAATGCTGGCAAGGTCACACTGCCCTCTCTCTTCACTCCTCTTTCCCCAGCATTCTAGGGACATGAAAATGGTGAGGGTGGAATCCACAAGGAAATAATGATAAGCAGACAGACTGTTGTCAACCAAGCTGCGCTTTGAACACAAGACACGCAGAGTTCAGAGTCTGCTTGGATGATCTAAAATCTTTCTTCTCAATACATAAACTCCTACCAATGAGTGCACCATGCAGACGGACATACCTTGCCTGGAAAATCTAGCAGTGGCAACTCTAACAACATGTAACATACATGTATTGGGTACTTACCATAAGCAGAACATCAGCCAAGCACAAATCAGACTCAAGTCACACAGGTCCATGGCACACTGATTCCAACTGCACCCGTGTACTCTGCCTATGGGCCAGCAGTGTCACTCCCTGTCCTTGAATCCCATCTTGACTTACGGTGGTCAAGAGAGACAATGATGGGCCTTCTAGGCTTAATTATAAGATATGCATATTTTGCTTCTTTCTCTGACACTTCTGCTATCACTGTGAGAAAGGCATGTCCAAGCTAGCCTGCTGGAGAGCGAGAGACATGTAGAACTGGGCCAAGTCACCCTAGATGCCCAGCGACGGATCTGGTGACAGCCCGTCACCCCCAACACAGGCAAGGGAGGCCAGCCAAGATCAGCAGTCACTCCCAGATAATGTGAGTTACTGTCACTGAGGTTATACAACATTCTTTTGGCACTAGGTAACAAATACAGGGTCCCTGCTTTTAAAAAATGGAAATGCTTGCACTCAAAAGGTAAGAGTATTAGTTGAATACTGGAAAGTAAAGCAGAGATGAGGCAAGAAAAGGGGTGGAACAAGGGATAATTTTGAACTGAGTATTTAAGCTACTTAGTGCCAAATGGGAGACAGGTATGGGGATGTGAAGGGATCTCCAAGAAATCTTATCCCAGCAGGAGAGCTGGAGTCAGGGACTCTGGAAGTACCCAGAGGGACTGGCAACATGGTCCTCACGACACAGGCACTGTGAAAATCCACAATTACCACTCAGGCCAGCAGGCGATACATCTCTAATCCTGATTCATCTAATAAATGTCTGAACCCACTTTCTATGAGTCAAAAGGTTTACAGGGAGCTGGACATTCTTGCCGAGTGGTTTTAGAAGTAACCGGATGGTGATGACTATATCCAGGGGTCAGACTTCAGCCAGCGCAGTAATCATGCTGGCCAAATATGAAACCTCAGGAGTGGTCTTGCAACTCAGATACCCACTATATGAAGGGCACTCAAACATTTTATTCATCCATTCAGCTGGCCAGAAGGTGTTAACTCTAGATAGCTGTCTTCCTTCATCCCCTACCCGGTCCAGGATACTCACTGACTCTCTGCCAAAGATTGCGTAGTTTGTGTCCAACACCATGGCTCGATGGTTAGATCCTCGCCTTGCACTAGGATTCCCTATGGGTGCTGGTTCATGTTCTGGTTGCTCCATTTCCTATCCTCCTCCCTGCTTGTAGCCTGGGAAGGCAGTAGAGGATTATCTAAAGCCTTGGGACCCCATTCCCACATGGGAGACCTGGAAAAAGCTCCTGGCTCCTGGCTTTGGATCAGCTCAGCTTTGGCTACTGTGGTTACTTGGGGGGTGAGCCAGCAGATGGAAGATCTTTCTCTCTGTCTCTCCCTCTCTCCATAA